GGTGGTGGGGGGGGTGGGGGGGGGGGGGGGGGGGCCGGGCCCGGGGCACACGCAGGGGGGGGGGGGGGGGGGGGCCGGGCCCGGGGCACACGCAGGGGGGGGGGGGGGGGGGAGCGCTACTGCGCTCCCAGCGCCGCACTCTCCTGAGTGTGCCACGGGCTCGGCCCGCCACACCTCTTCTCTACACCCCAGAGAAACCAGGGAACTCACTGGAGCCAGGCCATGCCAAGTCCCTGTGCTCAGACCACTGGTCTCTTTCACTCTTTGCTCACAATACCCTGACCAGCCTCAGGTTCTCCTGGGCCCATGACTGTCACTTGGCCCCTGGCTTCAACTCACCTCTAACAGGCAGAACCAACCAGGCCTAACCAGTGGAGCACCGTGACAGGGCTGAGTACACAGAAATGCTATGGAGCCACCCACCCCTGCTTCCAGTTACAGCCAGGGAGAGGCAAGAGAGCAGCCACTCCCAAAATTTCTCCAGGAACAGGGTGGGCTCCAAGCCCTCAGAGCTACCATTTCCCCCAGGTGAGCGCACAGCTCAGTCTCAAATCTAGAGCCCTCCCAGAGAAGCTCGATTGAAAAGCTGCTTCAAGGAGACAATGAGGACAGCTTTCATGCCAGGTTCAAGTTTTTTCTACAATCTGTCTGCATCCGACAGCGGCCCCTTTCCCTACATTACGCTGCCCACCCCTCCAGTGGATTGGCAGCACAGACAATGGGAGCAAGCAACCCAATGCGAGGAGAGAGCCAGGCTCTGACGCCTTCTGCTCCTTCAGCCAGGACAGAGCAGGAAACTGGCCAAGGTGACCGGTGAGGGCCTCTGCATGGCACAGATGTCAGCCTGGATCCCAGGGTGGGGCCTTGGCAGAGTGGGTCCAGGGCAGAGCCTCCTGTGTGACTGATGCCCGTGGGTGGCAGGGGGCAGGAGCAGCCCCACCTGAGTGGGGTCCAGGGCAGAGCCTCCTGTGTGACTGATGCCCGTGGGTGGCAGGGGGCAGGAGCAGCCCCACCTGAGTGGGGTCCAGGGCAGAGCCTCCTGTGTGACTGATGCCCGTGGGTGGCAGGGGGCAGGAGCAGCCCCACCTGAGTGGGACGCCCTGCACCACCTCTGCATCACTGCCCATCACGATCCCTGCTGGAGCTCCAGACACAATCCCTTGAGGGTCTGGAGAGCTTTCCCTTCTCTGCAAAGGCAGGCGTGACACCTGTCCTCTCCAGGCAGCTCTTTGCTCCTCTGCTGTCTCCCTCCTGACTCCCCCTCATGGTCACACTTGAACTTACGTGCCCTCTCCCTGCCCCTCCCAGGCCCTGGCCTGTGGACCTGGCCCCGCAGCCTTCTGGGCCTCCCTTCCCAGCCTCTGTTCACACACTCTGCCCACAGCCACAGCTGCTCTCACAGCAACTTCCGCCACCTTCTCTGCCCACCAGTGAGCATCCGTCCACTGCCCTTCAAGACTCAGCTCCAAGCCCTGCCTCCTGGAAGCCTCCCCAGCCCCCTGAGAAGAGTGGTGTCTCCTCCATGCCATAAACACACACCCTGTGCCAGCTTCTGTAACACCTGCCCTCACTGGAATTGAACCATCTCTCCCCAGGCCTGAGCGCATGCTCGCAGAGCACAGGGCCTGCAACGCTCACCCTCCACTCCCTGCCACACTGGGCACTGCTCCTAGTGCGTGAACCCCTGGAAAAGCAGAGGTGCCAGCCCCGGTGATGACACTCGCACCCCACCCCCAGCCCAGCTCCACCAGGACTCTACCTTCAGTAGCTCCTTCAGTTCCTCCATGGTCTGCTTGTTGGCCACCTCATCGTGGACTGTCTGGCCACAGTTCTTCACCACCGACTCCATCACCTGCAGACCCCAAGGAAGGGAAGCGCTGCCCAATGGTCAGGGCAAAGACCCCTCCTCCTCCTGGACAGGCCCACCACTCCATGAGAAGTCAGGCCTCCGATGGGGCCCTCAGGCTAAGCAGCCTGCCAGGGAACCCCAACAGCAGCTCCTGAGCCAGCAGCAGCACCCAAGCTCAGATGCTCCCTCTGTGGCCCTGTCTCACTGCCAAGAACAGCAATGAGAACCAGCCTACACGTGTTTCCTTGTGGGCCAGAGACTGGAGAAGCAGCCTCATCACTCCCTCCCTGTCTCTCCCTTAGGGTGACCGAGCTCTGAGGTGGCACTGCTCACATCTGCGCTCATGAGCACTCAGGCTGAGAAGGGACCACACTGCTTGCTGTGTGCCCAAAAGGGTGGGCACCCTTGAGGCTGGCAGTCAGAGACCTCTACAGTATGGGGGTCTAGTTACCTCCAGGGCGTACAAGGCCACGTGTGGATTCTTGTCATTGACTTTCTTCTTGATGGAATTCACAGCATATTTTGCCCTGAAAGAAAAACAACACTAGCAAAACAGAGAAAGAGGAGAAAAGACAACAGTCTTAGCAACTAGGTGACAAAAAGCCATCCACCATCTTGGTCTTTGAGAACCGCTAAGCAAATGTTAACCATCACCAAGCTCTATGGACAGAATCCCAGCACACAGACCATGCCGTTCTCCACTTAAGGGCCTAGCACAGTCAGCTGAATGTTGGAGGAACAATGGGCACCAAGCGACCTCTGTGCACTGCGCAGCCGCCCGTCGCTTACTGTGTGTCCCCCTGGCGGATCAGGTCGCAGATCTGCAGGATGGACTCCCAGTCGGTCTCCAGCAGAAGCTGGCTGGTTGCTTTGTCTGAGAGAGAAAATGCCATTGAGGGGGCCTGTACTGCTCTGATTCCCTAAGCAACCCCCCAGCTCAGGAGCAGCAAAAAGGGACTCCCTCCGTTCCTCTTTAAACATTTGGGCTGAGTGGGAAACCCTGTGAATCCTCATGAAACACGTGCTGATAACCATGGAAGTACCGTCCTCCCAAAAGAGAAGCAAACAGAGCGAAGATAACGGACAATGTCTGTGGCCTGCTTGTTGCACACCAGGTGCCCTTCCCAATAACTTACGTGTATATACTCATCCCACTCGCACACCACCCCATGAGCCAGGTACTATTTCCATACTCTTTGCGGGTCAATAAAAAACTGAGCAGAGAGGCGAGGTCACTGCCCTAAGTCCCATGCCTGCTTGTTGCACACCAGGTGCCCTTCCCAATAACTTACGTGTATATACTCATCCCACTCACACACCACCCCATGAGCCAGGTACTATTTCCATACTCTTTGCGGGTCAATAAAAAACTGAGCAGAGAGGCGAGGTCACTGCCCTAAGTCCCATTCACAGCTTATCACAGGCAGAGCTAGGATTCACTCTTAAACAGCAGGCTTAGCGGCTTCACAGAGTCCCCGATTATTCAGATGCTTGACCCCTCTGCTTAGAACTTAGCTGAGACGATGGCTGGAGAGACTTGGAGCATGGATTCTAGTCCTTAGCCTCAAGTGCTTTGTGGGATGAAGGCAGAACTGACCTCCAGGAAGGCCAATCCCACTTACACCTATTCTTTTCACACCTCTACCACCTCTGACAAACAGGCCCTCTGAGGTGCCACTGCTCCAGCTCTGCCTGCATCACCTTCCCCAGAGACACAGAAACAACCTGACGAACTCTGTCCACTTCCGATACACATTCAGTAGTCAAGTTCTGGATTTATCCTCGATGGGCTGGACCACCCCCTAAGGCTGAGATACTTGGCCTACATGTCCCAAGAGCAAGGCAGGTGTCCCACCTGAGGTCTTCTCCAAAACCACACTTAAGAAAAAGGCAGGCTTGGGGCAGACCACTCGGACATCCAGCCTGCTTGTCCCCAAGCTGAGCACACTCTCAGTAAGTGCTGGGAGACATGCACGTAAACATCATTTTTCCTCCTAAAATTTGAGAACTCCAGGAGGCTCGGACAAAATCAGCTGTCACCTCCAACAAAAAAAACGCCGTCCTAAACCACCGGGCGCTGTCCGGGACCGGCCCG